CTAGTCTGTAGTGTATCGCAAGGGGTACAACCTCAGCTACTAACATTGTACACAAGCGACCGCTGCGGACGGTTAATTTACGATGGTAGTTTCGTACTGCAGTTAGACTTTGGAAAACCGAGATATAATATGCAGGCGTTTCCTGGATTTTTCAGAGGAGGTACTGCGATCCCCCCCGCGGCCGGTTGAAGAGAAAATTTCTCTCACACCCATTTGGTCGGGACAAACCAATTTCGCTCTCTTCAATCCGTACTTCCTCTTAGACATTTTCCCTTAAACGGTAGCCGCTACTGTACGCAGATAGATGTTGTGTGTGTGTGCGATGCCCACATGCCCACGCGGCAGATAGATGCTGTATCACCCCGTTGATAGAAGGAGGGGCCCCGTGAATGTATGCGGCGTAACCTCAAGGGGTCGGGTGTGTTATCTTATGTAGCCCCCGTGGATGATAATTCGATGGTTTGTCAGAACACGCCCAAAATATCACCGGGCGGGGTGTCGTATTCTGTGGGGGGTGTGGTTTCTTATGTGGGTGTGTTATCTTGTGTCGTCTACGGTAGTAGGCATGTTGCAGAATAGATCATCGGTACGCATAGATTGCCTTTTCTATACGAGGGTGGTTGTGTGATGGCATGAGGATACCCTTCGTTTCTGATCCGATGAAAAAACAAAACACTTGCTTCCTCATTGGGCACTAAATGTTTTCGGACACGGTACGCCCGCCTTACTTACTGAAACGATACAAGAGTAAAGAGTTCATCAAGTTTTTCTTGGAAAAAAAGTCTAACAATACAATGTTTAGGAAAGGTGAGAGACTACTTCCAGATAATAATATCTGAACAACCACCCCTACGCCGAGAAAAGTGTCGTACCTTGGCGCTGGGAAACGCTGAACATGAACATGTTGTACATGCGGACCATGACAGGGTAGACATCGCCGTTTGCCCCGGATGGCAACCACACAGTCAATGTCTCTTTCTCGCGGATATTGTACCATTCATTGTATAGTATGCATACGAACCCGACGAAAGAAACCCCTCCCACGGGGCCCTCCATGTAGAATTCTTGGAACACCTAGGTTACATGTCAATCTTGATCGCGGGGGGGGGGGGGGGGGGGGGGGGGTTTTAAAAAATTTTTTTTTTTGTCCGGGGGGGGGGAAAATTGAACAAAACCCCGGGGGGGGAAAAATTTGAGGGCCCCTTTTTTTCAAAAAAAAAGCCCGGGGGGGAACCCCAAAGGCTGGGGGAAATCGGGAAACCCCCCGG